GTCCTTGGCATAACAGCAGAGTGGACCGGTATACTACGATCTATTTAAACTGACCAGTGTAACATTTTATATGTTTGGTTGACTATTTTATTTTGATAATGAACAGACTGTGATGTAAGTTTGAATTGCTAGAATATGTGGTGTGTGTGTGTGCGCGCGCGAGGTGCCGGCGCGATCGAACAGCTGAAGCTTAAAAAAAGTTGTTTATGGAGCGAAACGCAGGGGAGAGAGCAAAACAAAACAACGGTCACTGATTAGAAGTACAAAACGAGGATTTGTAAAGAAGAATGTCACAATTTTACTTATTGCACACTTCTGTTTTAAATCTGTTATCTTAATTATTTAAGCCAGATATATTTTGCTGTTTTTTTTATGAAAACAAATTGTTATTTTTATTTAGGCCTATTGCTTACATAGGCTATACATTTTCCTTAAAGCATCCCATTTTGTCCCAGGGCTTGAAACCTGTGCCTAGGCTAGTTAGGTCCATGCAGAAACTAGTGAACGATGCTCTAGTTGTGGCATCACCGTTTAGTGACAGCATTGAATGCTCCGGGAAAACGTATAGTCAGTGTCGGTCACAGCTCCTTTTAATTGCTGTTTTGAATCCAGCAATTATTTACAAATTATAAGCTCTGATTATGACAAGTGTGGTATAAAAGCATTGTTTATTAAAGGAATAATTGGTTAGCTGGAAAATCTTACATCGCGACCATGCTTTTGGATGCCATTCGAGCCCCTGCAGACTGCAATTGTGAACCGATATGAAAGAATTATCTGGGGAAATTATTTAGTTACTACATTTCTATTGCTTTCCATGTTGAAGAACTTTGTGTTGTTTCTATTTTAATGTACTTTTAAAGTTTAAATTACATTAAAAGCTTAATTTGTAATTATGAGTGAATGATGATGCATTTATATACCGTCACTCACAGCCACTCGCACGTGTTTTGAGCATGAGCCGCACGCAGCCCAAAATTAAACGGCTTAATCGACCATCGATATCTTTAATCGATCATCGATTAATCGTTGACATCCCTACTTGAGGGTAAGTAATTTATGGGCTAATTTTAATTTTTGGGTGAACTAACCCTTTAAGCCTTTATTTTGGGTAAGTTTCACTACTTATTGTAAAATTAAGAGATTAATGTTCAGACTTTTGCATATTATAACCTAGAACTTGGATGTGGGAAATTACATTAGATACAAAAGATAGTTTTAGCAGCATAGCGCAGATGCTACAGAACACAGTTAGCTGACTAACTGTATAAGATTGTGTGCTACGCTAATATATTACTTCACAGGCATTACTGGCTTGTACTTTTAAATCCATAATATTATAAATTGATAGTTTATTGCTGGTCTGTGGTTTTACAATAATGTAATTTTTTAAAGATTTCATATTATTGTAAGGTGAGCACTAAAGGGTGCACTACTATGAAAATCACACCGCTTCAGTGTGACATCAATAAGAAAAAGTATAATTTCATAGATAGTTAATAATAGTTGTTCATATTAAAATATGCATGAACTTAATACATGACCTAGATTATTTATCTTGCAAAATCCTGTCATTTTAATAAATATTACATGAAATTTATTGCAAATTGTTTCTGCTCTCGTTAAGCTCTTCCACACTGAACGTCTATGTAAATACTTCATAAACAGACTTTAAATATTAACTGATGGTTGTCGCTTTAAATTAAGTTAATCGATTTTCTGTCAACTCAAATCTGCAGACTGGCTCTGACCTTTGGCAACTACTGTGAACTTCTCCAGATTGTAAATCTGTGGAAAATCAGGGCTAAAATTGTGCAGTGTATTCCAGCCTTAAGAGACTATAGATAAGTTGACATCCATTTAATAAGAGGCTTCGTAATGTGTTCTGTGTTCATCCCCGTGAATGAAATGTTTTATTGGTTTGTTTTATCTTATTTTTGAATGCGTTACTTAGCTGAACATGGACTAGTCTAGATGTTGCAATGTGCTTAAATCACATTTCATTATAAATGTATAACTGATCGACTTAAATGCCTTGTTGCTTGATTTTTGTGTTCTGTTTTTTTTTTGTTATTGACTTTGTACCTTCAAAAATATATATTTTTACAATTCATCTTAAAAAAAAGTGTCCTTAAAATAAACACGATTTTTTAATAAAACTTGATGTGAGCTTAATGGGAACAGGGGTGTGCTTAAAGGATACAAACATGTACCCATTAAGCACAGCCAGACTTTTTGAATTTAATGATGTATGTCTTAATTGAAATGCTTTTGTCATTTAAAATAAAATGTAATATTTTTGTGTGAGAGATTCATATTTTATTTTAACATAACTTTTTGTACTGAAACCAATATCTTGTGAATTAAAAATGTCTCAATGTAGATTTTGGTGAGCTTAATAGGTACGTTTACCCTACCTCTTTCAAGAAGCACAGGAACAACACAAGTGTATTTAGACAGTAATCACAAGCACAATACTGTTGCCACAACAACAGTAAAGTTTAAGGTGGCTCTGTTTTTACCTTGTCCTGTCTAAGTGGGCAGCGTGGAGAAATGTGAGTGCTCTTTTTGCACCAGGTCCCCCAGTAAGCTGGACGATAGTTGTCATGGAAGTGCAGGAGTTTCATGCGGCCATAACGGTGACGGTCTGGGATGTCATCTGCCTTTTGGCTGTCAGTTATGACCACACAATCTCTAATAACAGAGAACAAACAAAACGAACAAAGAATAAGCCTTTCACTCTCATATAAACTGCAGCTGGTGTTCCGCACAATATCTCAGCAACAAGTTCAATGTGGCTTTACCTTACTGCACTGTGACTGGGCCTGGTTGGACCTGAACTGCGAGGTTTGTGCTTAGTCCAGTCTTTCAGTCCATTTAGAGTGCTGTCAGGTTGGGCAAGATAACGGTCCAGTTCCTCTAGAACAGCATCTTCACATTGTACCCGAGTCAGTGGAGCTAGAGACATGTTCGCCTTAATCTCAAAAGGAGCAAACTTCCCACAGGCAGACGCCAGAGTCTGAAACACAGAACAATAGTCACAAAACATGTTTGGAGAAGAAAGCCGTCTAAAGCATGACAGCCATTACATTGGGAAAGATTTCTCGCATTTAGATTTTTATCTTTATCTTATCTGTTTGTCCAACAAGGCCTCCTTCTCAAATTATGTCATTGGTAAATTATTTATAAGCAAAGTTTGACACACCAGGGGGGCCGTTTCATAAAACAAGTTTACTAAACAAGCCAGGCTTATTTCAGTTATTCTGACTTATTTTAAACCAAATCAACTGACAATAAGTCAGACTAACTGAAATAAACCTGGCTTATTTGGTAAACTTGTTTTATGAAACAGCCACCTGGTCTCTATTCCACACTGAATAATGTGATTCTTACCTTTGGTGCCAACTGGGTCTTGGCCTTCTGTAGAAACCGTGTAATCTCAGCCTTCTCAGCTTTGATTCGCTAAACAGATGCACAAACGCAATGAGGACCTGAACAGTTTGCAAAACAGATTTGAAGCTCTCTGGAAAAAGGCTGATAAAAGCACTCACTTCTTTCTCTTCCTTCAACCGTTTTTCCTCCTCTTTCTTCCTTTTCTCTTCTAGTTTGGCTCTAAATAGGATTTACACCAGATTTTAAAACTCATATCCTTTGTGAAATGAAGAAAAACACCAGTACAACTACTGACACTCACTCAATTTTCATTTGCCGCTGCTCTTCTTTAGCTCTTAGTTTATCTGCCTTTTCTTTCTCCTCTCTCTCCTTTTTCTCCCGCCGCTCTTTTTCATCTTTCTCCTTCTTTTCTTTCTTCTCCCTCTCCTTCTCTTCCTTCAGTTTGCGGGCCTCCTCTTTCTTCCTCTCCTTGGCAGCTTTGGCCTCCTCTTTCTGGTGCTCTTTCTCTTCGTTTCGTCGCCGCTTCTCTTCCTGCTCTTGGACACTCTGAGGGACAATAAGAGCTATTCAAATGGAGTACAGAATTCCACAGTGACAAGACTTCAAAAGGAAGCAATCAATCCTTCTTGAATCCTTAAAGTGCAAACATTCCCATTGAGATAAAACTTGGTTTGGGGCTTTTTTGCGAGGAGAAATAACCCACACCAGCTACTAAAATTTCAGCTTTGGGCTAACAAAAACCTGACTCCCATAGACTGATTAACATTACACAAAAAATGCTGGTTGCTAAATAGGATAAAATATGTGATTTTACCTTAAGGGATCTTCTCTTCATTTTACTAGCTGCATCAATCGGTGACGTCTGCAGAAAGAAAAGAGACTGATCAATAGGTTGAACTTTTAAGCAAAAGAAGAGATAAAACGATTAAGCATTAATTCATGTCTACTCACAGAGGCAGGGGTGGTGGGAGCGCTCTTGCTGGGCTCTGGTGAGCTCTCTACCACTGAGAGTGAGCTGGTAGAGCTAGTCGATAGCACAGACTCATTCCCGTGACTAACTTCAGTCTCCTGCTGCTCCTCTTCCTCTGTGTCAGAATCCTGAGTGATGTCCAGCAGTGGAAGGGCATCTTCGTCCTTCTCCGTCTCTTTATTTGTCAGTGGCATGGTTGGTTCTGTAGATTTTGTGGCATGTTCTGCATTCTTTGTTGTTTCTTCGCTAAGGGGGCAGGTGGCAGCAACTGGAGGTTCAGGCTGCTGTTTGACAGCATCATTTGAGTCTTCAGCAAGGTCGATTGTGGCTTCAGGGCCAGAGCGGGCCGGGGAACGCTTCTGCTTGCTCATAAAGCAATCAAGTGGTCCGCGGCCATTTACCAGCGCCGGGCCATGATGCAGTGGGGTGGAGGAGTTGTCCATATAATTTTCTCCATCTGACGCACTGGGTTCAGAAGACTTGGGGGCAACCGGACCTTTGGTTCTTTTGGGCTCATTGCATTCCTTGGGTTCTGGGTTGAGCCTTTTGAAAGGTAGACGTGCTGTAGGGAGGCAACACTATTAGTTAATCAGAAAAGATTATAAAACGCTAGACCTCATACATTTGCTGGGCTTTATACACTGAACATCTGTGTATCAAGCATGTCTCGCAGTTTAGCAATAATAGACTGCATTTAACTGATTTGACCATTAAAGTTTTAGTTCACCCAAAAATGAAAATTACTCTGCTAAACAAGGCTAAACACCAGGCTCCTGCTTCAGGAGCATCACACACATGAATAGTGGTACTCTCATGAACGCCTGTTGAAGACTGACACGGAAGAGAAGAATTGTTGAAAAAAGTCGTTATTTTTGTTTTCTTTGCACACAAATAGTAGCGTATAATTCTCGTAGCTTCATAAAATTAAAGTTGAACCACTGATGTCACATGGGCTATTTTACCGATGTCTTTACTACCTTTCTGGGCCTTGAATGTGTCAGTTGAATTGCCATCTATGCAGGGTCAAAAAGGTCTTGGATTTCATCAAAAATATCTTAATTGGTGTTCTGAAGCAGAACGAAAGTCTTGGGACGACATTAAGGTGGGTAATTAATGACCATTTAAATTTTTGGGTGAACTAAATCTTTCCATTTAGAAAGGAACGAAAGCACACTGCAGCGAAGAAAAATAAAGTTGCGTGGAATGGAATAACTGTTTTACCTGTTTTACCAAAGTAACTGTTTTACCTCAATTATCATAATTGTTGGAAGTCAAAATAAAATTGGACTAATCACTAGGGATGCTCATATTGACCGTTTAATCGTTAACCGACAGTAAGAATTTTTACAGATTAATGCTATCAGTTAAACGGTTTAAAAGTTTTTTTTTTTTTACAAATATAAATACACGATTAATTAATTTATTACAAACGATTAATTGCTATTAATTGCATCCAAAATAAAAGTTTATTTACTGTGTATACTTATGTAAATATAAATACACACACATGCATGTATATTTAAGAAAAATGTTACATTTGTATATTAAATATATTTATATATAATATAAATTATATAAGCATATACATGTAAATATTTTCAAAATATATACTGCATGTGTGTTTATTTTATATATTATATATATATATAACGTTATAGGCTACACAAGTTATTTGTTTACTCACGGGTGTATGTCGACAGACATATTTCGCTGAGCAAGCACCTGCTTCACCTCCACTTAGTTAACTGATGTAGTATATGCAACACAATGGCAAGTGGCAATTCTGGGTTATCAGAGAGTGAACATATATTCAAATTCTGAATGGATTATAGCCAAGAAAGTGGGCAATGGGTGCTCCCCTTACTATCAATGGAAAGCTATCACTCATCTTCCTGTAGTTCATCGCAATCTCACAAAGTTAATAAAAAGTACACTTTCTTTGTTTTAATGAGTTTGCAGTGTATTATAACCACCTCTGATTGGCCACTGCGTTAATGAAATCATCAGATATGTCTGTGACTGGCTATATTGCTCAACACTGCAAAACCACGATAAAAAGTCCCAAACTGCAAATTGACAGGATTTTTGTGATGGTGTTTTTGCCACAGATCTAACAGATAGCAGGCAGCGCTCCAGTCTATCCGTACAGCATGTCGACATGTCACTTTAAAAAAACTAGACAGGTTGAACACTGAGGTAGGGCAGGTCTATTTATTTGATTATTTTATTCAGATTTTCTGTTCTGAGAAGCGATGCTGGTGCGTGATAATTTGAGAATGTGTGAATCCAGTTTTTGCTGTTGCTCTGTATGCTGCTGTGTATTTTTTTTATGTATCATCACAGATGGTTGTCCATTTCATTTTTATTTAATACTAATTTATTAGTCTAATTTTCTCAGTTAACGGTTAATATTTGGATAACGAGCAGCGGTTGTCGGTCAGGAAAATTAACCAAAATGAACATCCCTATTAATCACACATTCCTTCTGGATGGAATCTCAAATGCATCCCAATTTGCATACTTGCACACTATACTCTGCCATTTCTTTTAGTATTGTGCAATTGATAGGTTCCCACTGAAAGTAAAAGTGCACTTTAAATACCTGAATAAAGTATCTACTTAGCCTAATTATAGGTTCAAATTTAAAAAACTTTATAAACTCAGTGGCTGCAGGTTAAATTACATAGCTGAAGGAGAGGAGCTATTAGACTTGATGGATGACAGAATTACCTGATAAAACTCGTACACTAGACTGGAGTGCACAGTGTATCATTTCGGACACACAAAAAAGATTTTCTGTGAAATCTGACAACTCCTCCAGACTGGGGCAAAAATCATGTACTGTATTCCAGCCAATCAGAAACAAAAGATTGGATTGTCAGTCTTACAATCAGAGAAACATTTGGGTTTTTGAATTTAAGATATATATATATATATTTTTTTTTATATATATATATATATATATATATATATATATATAAAACTAAATATTTTTTTTTAATACAACTCATTAGATAAGGTTTTAACACTTCATATTTTTTATAATGTATTCTTATCTTACATTACGGATAAACTGGGAACACGTAATCTAGCTTTATAATCACCACCACCCAGCAGTACAGTAATATCAACATGAGAAAAGAAAACACTTTCTAAAAATAAATAAATTGAAGTGTTTTATTTTACAGTGACACTATAAGAATAACTTTGTAAAACATATTTGGAAATGGTCTAGTGTTTTATTCTTATAATCAGCAGTAATGGTCATTGATGGTTCATGAAAAAGTTTGCTTAAGTTACATCCACCTACAATCATTTCCCACCTTATTAAACTTTTTTTTTTTAAATATAAAATAAGCTCCCAAAAAAGAAACTATGTAATAAACTGGGTCCTCAAAGTATGACTAAACATATACCAATATCATGTTTCTGTGTGGGGATGGTTTTACATTATTGACTAGAAATATTAACACTTAAGCTGTTTACCTTGAACGAGCTTCTTGCTGGCATTAGCTTTGCCCACACAATCCATGCCTGAAATATATAAAGAGTTTGTTCAGGTCAAATCCTTTCTCAGAAATACATATGCAGGCAAATAGAGGCAATACAAAAAATTCAAATGGCATTAATCCGAGATTAACTTTGATGCATGGTTAAGCTCAAAAGTCAACGCAAAACAATACTCGTTGTCAAAGTACGCCTCGTCGAAACGAAGGTAACTGCTACCACTGCATGCTAACTACTAGTTGACAAGTCACATCGAACCCAAAGATTTGATTCTCGAGTGTTAGTAACTTTAAACTACTTAAATGTCAAAAAGCCCCAACATAAAAAAAAACGCAGAGCGCGCACAAACTTCCATAACGCAGGCGTTAATGCAGAAATAATGCAGACGTACAATGTTTAGTTTTGATCTCCCGCCTTTCAGCGAAAGATGGTTTGTAGGCCTGTGGCGACTGAGTTTGGCTACTGAACCTGTGACTACGGAGACATTACGTTCATCCATTAGCACAAGTCTGAGGAACAAAGACCGAGACTGAGCTCAAAACAACATAAACGGGACTTATTTCGATAAACCCGCACGAATACAGACAAAAATAAACATTTCACGTAATGAAAGTCACTTTTTGTGTGAGCAGAAAACAAGATTGTCAATAACAAATCTGAGCTAACATGCTAATTATGATCCCAAAACCCGACAACCCCAAATGATGCTTTGAAAAGCCATTGCAGTTTCATTTGTATCGTCTCTCAGAAAAACTAAAACCATTTCAGAAGTAATATCCGGTAAAATAGGGAGTTTTTCCACTCTTATCTGTTGTTAGCCACCTATATGAGCTCATTGGTTTTATTTACTGTATTATTCCCTATATATCGATTTTAATCATGCATTAAAGCAGTTTTATTTCCCATTAAACACCAGACCTCTTCGTGGTGTGGAGGCCAAAGGCTCTTCGCCCGAGAGCATCACGACCACCATCCGCGCTCGCGCTGGAAACGTTAAACGGAAACGGGGAGCGCTTTTTTGGACTCCGTACACAGCTCCTTCAGGCTAGTCATCGACTCCACGTCTTTTCCAGGTATAACATTAACGTGTCAACGGCGAATTCGCTGGGTTTCTGTTCGTTTTAGAGTTGTAGGTTGTGTTTTTTTCGTGTGTAATCCCGGTCCCGTCGTTCCCGTCTCTTCCCCGGTCAGACTCCCTCGAGTTCCCCCGCTCAGAATTGGCGGGAGCCTGTTGCGCGACTGGATCGCAGGCTGCGATTGGTCAGCGGTGTTTTGCGTCACAGCAACGAAGAGTCACGTTATTGGCTGTCTCGGTTGGCTCTGCCTCGCAACACGTGCCTTTTGTGCTAACAAAGCCTGTGATTGGACAGTGAGTGTGATCCTCGAATAGGATTGGTTAAAAAAAAGAATGAGTCACAAAGTTGTTCCGCGTAACTGCTTTGACTTATTCATTTGGTTTAGAGGGTTTCTGTTGACCGAAATGCACTTTTAAGAATTGAAAAGTTGTTGTTTTTAAAGAAAATTTTATTTTTTTCTAAATAAAACTTTAAAGGAGTCCGTGTTTTTTTCAAGAGAGTTTTGAGAAGCTTGACACATTTCAAGATTAATATTTTAATATCAAACGTCAGTAATTCCGCAAAAGTCCTTGAAAGATCCTTAAGATACACTTAAATCCAAAAGCACGACAATGTTCACAAGCTTCTGCCAAAAACAACAGAAAGGTGTCATATTCGTACATTGCCACAGGGCAGGGAAACTGGTCAATTATCGAGCGAGAGCAAGCGCAAATCCTGGCATCGGCAGGTCGCAGCACCACTTCCGGTGGCATCCCCAGCTGCCACTGGCAGCTGCCACGGTCTTTCTCGCCGTTTCTGCTGTTTGTTCGGTAAAACTACACTGTGTATACTATATACAGGAGCGTAGCCATCATTTCAGAAGTGAGGGGGACAGAAATGTTTTATATACACAACCACACACACATACACACACACACACACACATATATATATATATGCATACCCCTTCATATATACTGTATATAGGAAACTTTATTTTATCTCTTATTTCTTTTTTTTAATTGGCTAATAAAGGAAAACTTCAATTCATCAGTCCGGAGAGGGAAAAGTTCACTAGCACAAGAAACATAAACATTTTTCTCAGAATTGAGAATGACAGGTAAGTCAAGTTTGGTTGGCATATACAATTTTTGAACGTCACTTTTTAGAATTGCACGTTTATATCTCGCAGTTCTAAGGAAAAAAAGTTCTTAATTGTGAGATTACCTTTTTAATTTTTTTATTCTGTGTTGGAAACAATAGTCCATACTTTTATAAAGTGAAGTGACATGTGGCCAAGTATGGTGACCCATACTTGGAATTAGTGCTCTGCATTATTGATGAAATTTCATTCCACCTCTTGAGAAAGAAATATTTATTTTAACATGCAGTGCACGGCATGCTGTTAATCTACGTTATTGTTGAATGTTAAGAGGATATTAACGTTGTTTGCAAGAATACGGTTAAAGGGGTTCACACTCCGTACAGGGATAGTTCTGTCTTTACAGTTATCGTTAGCCATTGACTTCCATAGTATGAAAAAAAAAATACTATGGAAGTCAATGGCTACCGTCAACCATTCGGTTATCAACATTCTTCAAAATATCTTCTTTTGTGCTCAACAGAAGAAAGAAATTTATACAGGTTTGGAAGAAGATAGATTAGATTGCCCTTATTTTTTTCAATTTGTGCTGTTTTTACAGTAAAACTTATCAACGGCCATTTTATTTTATTTTTTCATTTTTGAGATGAACTTTTTGTCTGTATGGTGACTAGATTTTGGTCCGTCTCCTTGAATCTGAGAACATGTCTGGTTTGCCGCATAGTGTTCATAGCCTATTTGAAGAAAGTGGGTTACCATCAGGTTTAGGTTTCCCGAACAACTTTAATGAAAGCTAAGTCACTGTGTAAGTTAACTTTAGACCTTTTGTCCAATACAGTTAATCACATAAGAAAGAGACAGTATCTTTCCAAATTTAGCCTCGTGTCGTAAGTAGAGGAATGTTCAGCTAATGTGTGGTCCGAAAGGGTTACTTCACTATCTGTCATGTTAAAGAGTTCATGGTTATGTGATTTATCACTTCTACCTAGGGCTGCACAATTAATCGAAATTAAATCGCAAAAGCAATAAATCGCGATTAGGCAGAAGCTGCGATTGTCATACGTATCTTTCAGTGAAGCATGGTTCTGTGATCAATAGTAAATCTCCACCCAAAGGCCAGAGGGCGCTCTCGCGCTGAAAATCCAAATATGCTCCGAAGAAGAAACCCAGGAAATGCCTATCGCTGCAGCTGAATAAATAGAAGATTTAACTGCTTTCATTGATTCAACATGACTAATAAACACAGGACTACGACAATATATGTTTTATCAGAGTTCTTCTTATTATAATTTATCATAATAAAGTATATCTATAATGAAATGCTAATCGACATAGCCATAATCACTGCTTAGAATACAATGAAATATTGTGTGCCTTAATTATTCTGTGTAAGAAGCCACATCATCTCACAGAAGGATTTATTTCAACACTCGACTGACGTTATGAAGTGAGTTTAAAGTAAAAACATGTTATTAAATGTGGTATTTTCACATGCTTTCAGATAGAGCAGCATTTACTACACAGAGCCATAGTTCACTGACAAGCTACGCAAACAGCTGTCATTATCGCAGAATGATTTCTTCGATTTCATAATCCTACGATTATATCGTCTGCAATTATGAACGCGATTTTGCATAGCTTGACAGTGAACTACGGCTCTGTGTAGTAAATGCTGCTCCTCCTGAAAGCAGGTGAAGGAGATTTACTACTAATCACAGAACCGGCTTTACTGACAAAATGTGCATGACAATCGCGATTAATCGCATTTGATTAATCGTGCAGCCCTACTTCTACCTCTAATCAGCATTCATTGGATTCATTCATGCTCCTTCGATGCAAGGTTATGGTTATTTTATTTCATTGTCTATAATCCCCCTGAAGTAGCCTTGGCCACCCCTTGTATGAAACTCAATTTGAGTTAAGTTGACATAATTTGTGGTTTAATGTCAATTACCACAAATTATTTTATCTCCCTTAAAATAGAAGTACATGGGACCTGGCAAAAGATGCACAGAATAAACTTTTTATAAAATAAAAAGTTTTTTTTTTTAGAACAGCTACAAAACCTAATTATTATACATGTTAATTTGCAACTAATTTGATGGATTACATCCTATATTTTTACTTCAGTGTCATGATGAAGTAAAAAAAGATATGAACTTCACATTTTGGCCTTTCAACCCTTCACACCCTTGTACCATTTAGTTTTTGAAGTTAAGAAGTCACTAAGATTTTTTTTAAAGAAATTTCTATTTGAAAAAAAAATCTGTTCTTTTGAACTTTCTATTCATCAAAATATCCTGAAAACATGTATAACAGTTTCCAGAAAAAACATCACAGAGTATGCTGAAAATTCAGCTTTACATCACTAGAATAAATGTGCAGCCCTACTTCTACCTCTAATCAGCATTCATTGGATTCATTCATGCTCCTTCGATGCAAGGTTATGGTTATTTTATTTCATTGTCTATAAACCCCCTGAAGTAGCCTTGGCCACCCCTTGTATGAAACTCAATTTGAGTTAAGTTGACATAATTTGTGGTTAAATGTCAATTACCACAAATTATTTTATCTCCCTTAAAATAGAAGTACATGGGACCTGGCAAAAGATGCACAGAATAAACTTTTTATAAAATAAAAAGTTTTTTTTTAGAACAGCTACAAAACCTAATTATTATACATGTTAATTTGCAACTAATTTGATGGATTACATCCTATATTTTTACTTCAGTGTCATGATGAAGTAAAAAAAGATATGAACTTCACATTTTGGCCTTTCAACCCTTCACACCCTTGTACCATTTAGTTTTTGAAGTTAAGAAGTCACTAAGATTTTTTTTAAAGAAATTTCTATTTGAAAAAAAAATCTGTTCTTTTGAACTTTCTATTCATCAAAATATCCTGAAAACATGTATAACAGTTTCCAGAAAAAACATCACAGAGTATGCTGAAAATTCAGCTTTACATCACTAGAATAAATTTAATTTGAAAGCATATTCAAATAGAAAACAGTTACTTTAAATTGTAATAATATTTCACAATATTCTTGTTATTTTTGATCAAATAAATGCAGCCTTGGTTTCAACCCTTCACACCCTTGTACCATTTAGTTTTTGAAGTTAAGAAGTCACTAAGATTTTTTTTAAAAAAATTTTTGAAAAAAAAATCTGTTCTTTTGAACTTTCTATTCATCAAAATATCCTGAAAACATGTATAACAGTTTCCAGAAAAAACATCACTGAGTATGCTGAAAATTCAGCTTTACATCACTAGAATAAATTTAATTTGAAAGCATATTCAAATAGAAAACAGTTACTTTAAATTGTAATAATATTTCACAATATTCTTGTTATTTTTGATCAAATAAATGCAGCCTTGGTGAGCGAAAGAGACATTAAAAAGACATTCATTTCAGAAACATTAAAAAAAATGTACTGACTACTTTTTGATAGTTATTTGTAATAATAATCTTGTTGATTGAGCTTAACTGATTCAATGAATTCACTGTTTGAGTGGGAATATCGGTTACTTCCATCAATGTTAACTCGCCATATTTTTCTCTTTTTTGCAGTGGTTGGATTGCCACAGTGATGTTTTTCGGCACAAATGTAGTCTCGGCTATATTTATGCTCATCTGTACTCTGCTCTTTACCATAGATACAGTTCTAATGGTGTTCATTCTTATCAAGGTGTGACTTGCATATATACACACACACAACCCTTAATAAGTAAACCCTTAAACCAGGGGTGGGGAACGTTGATCCTGGAGGGCCACTCTCCTGCAGAGTTTAGTTCCAACCCTGAAACCCCCTAGAGAAAAAAAAAAACTAAATGCATCCTGAAGACCTTGATTAGCTGGTTCAGGTGTTTTTGATTAGGGTTGGAGCTAGACTCTGCAGGGACACCGGCCCTCCAGGATCAACGTTCCCCACCCCTGCCTTAAACCAAAAATGAAAGTGACATCAGTTTTGTCCCCTAAAAGGTTCATCGACTGTATCGCGGTGGAGGAGGCAGTTTTCAGCAGGCACAGGAAGAATGGAGCACGGGGGCGTGGAAAAGCGCCCCTGTGAGAGAAGCCGGATTCAACGCCATCTCTGAAACCGGCCCCAGCCTGCCCC